GGTTTTTTTTTGTGTCTGTTACCACTTTTTCTCAGCTCTCACCGAACCGATTTCTTTTAATGATACGTCAAAAGATCACAAATCGTATCTAGTCGAAGACATTACCCTTAAAAATTGAAAAAAATTCCCTCGTACCCCGTAAATGGGGGAAACCTCCAAAAAAATTACAAATTTAAAAATTGCTAATTTTCGAAATTTTTTCAATTTTTTTTACTTAAAAGTACCATAACTTTTTCAAAAATGAACATATCAATATAATTCTTTTTTATGTAGATGCATAATATCATTACCTTTCATTTGGTATATATTTTTCATATCTGACCCTTTACCTGCCCACAGGGGGGGATTTAAAATGACAACTTTTTCACAAAAAATTAATTTTTTTAACTTGATTTTTGAAAATGTTAGGAAGGTCTGACACTTTTATATATATCTTAAATTAAAGCTAATGTAATATACTTTATCATGAAAAAAAAAAATTTCGGACTTTATTTTATCTTCATGGTGAAAATGGCTACCAAATGCTATTTTTGTGTGAAAATTTTCGATTTTATTTTTTACATTTTTAACTTTATAATGCTATGACATATTGAAAAGTATATTCCCTTTTTAATTCAACATACTTTATTTTAATTAGGATATTAATAATGAACTAGCAGATCATGAAGCTTTTGGAAAATCCACCAATTTTTTAAAATTAAACACTATCTAAAGATTTGCATCGAAGAGTTTTTTTTTTATAGTGATTTTAATCACTGTCAGATATCATTATACTTGATCCATCTATGCCACGTCACCACTGTGCCGCGACCCCCCTGTGCTGGGTTTTTTTATATACAGGATGATTGGCTAACTATATCTCACGTAATATCTTAAAAAATACAAGTGTTTTAAACATATTTTTTTAATCATTATGATGAGATGTTTCACAAGAAAATTTCAATTTCTACCCCATATTAAAATTTGAATCAACTTCATATTTTCAATTAAAAATAATATGGGTTGCCATTTGAAAATCTGAAGTTGATACAAGTTCTAAGTATAAGGGATGTTGATAGAAATTTTGTTTTTCTTGTGAAACAGCTCATCAAAGATTCAAATGAATTAAAAAAAAATTGTTTATAACACTTTTAATGATATTACGTGAGACATAGTTAGCCAATCATCTTGTATATTTGTTGTACGAAGGCATTTGAAATTTTTTTTTATTATCGTCAGGACCAAGACGGCTAATATTATTATATAATATATATTACGGCTAATATATGGTCTTTGTTGTTATTTGATCTATTGTCATCGATTTTCAACAATCTGTTAAAATATGTTTTACTCTTGTTAGCGTATTGCACATTGAGTATAATTATAATGATCATTTGTCTATTGGGTAAAGTGTAGCAATAGTTGATATCCATCCTAGCGCACCTTGTTGCGCTCGTGTATGACCTATTCGAAAGTGTTCGCGCCAAATTCGGCCGCCGTCCCTTCCTCAGCGAGCGTCATAGTTTATTTTGTACGTACCCAGTACACAAGTTTCGCGCCTCTAAGATTCCATAGTCATTCCTCAACAAATACATAGTGCATTTTTTTCTCATATATACAGCGAACGAATTTTTATAGAAAAAACTTGAAAATTAAATCAAATTCATTTATCTTTAAATTATTTAAATATTTTTTATTCAATCAAATGATATTTTTTTAGCATAAACTATTGAAAATTAAATAATAATTCATTAATTTTGGGCTGGGATACCTCAATACATATTTTTTGTTTCATTAAATATAGGAAATATTACTAATAAAAAAAAAAACGGTAGCACAGTGGGGTCGAGGCACAGTATAGACGTGGCATAGATG